GACGGTTTTCAACAAAACCGTCGTCTATAGATATCATAAACGACGGTTTTTAAAAAAAATTCGTCGTCTTTATTTCAAAATGACGACGGTTTTCATAAAAACCGTCAGCTTTATAGGCCAACAACGACGGTGAAAAACCGTCGTGGTTTGACACTCCAAAAAGATGGCGGTCGATATAACAACGGTTTTCAAACCATCACAACAGCGGTGGATCCCCGTCGTCTATTTCATTTTTTGTAGTAGTGACTTTTACAACCAATCTTTGAGCAGCATAGTTCAATCCTAAATATTGATTAGAAATTACACATATAAAAAATAATAATTAAGAATTAACAGGCAAATACATTAAGACACATTGGCTATGATTGCTTACTGAGCCTCTACTATGTTTAAATTACTATTTAATATCTTCTGATTGAGGGTTAAGGTGATCATCCATTGGAATAACAAAAACAAGAGCAAGCTGATGTTGATAAATAAAAAAAAGTGTGAAATAATTAAAGAACATCACCTAAACGGAATTAGAGTTTAACGTTGATAATCTAAAGGTTATACGCAAAGAATTTAGATATTTAATATTAGGCTCCCATTAATATATTTGAATAATATTAAGAACACACGGTGACGAGGCCAAGGAGCCTCAGATATTGCATCAGCTCTTATTTTAGTGTACATATTTTAGTACAATACATATTCAACTGCATGTGCAAGGTGAGATTGACATTGGTCCACTTCCTGCTCAGTAGTACTGGTTGCCAAAGTCGTTAAAGCCTTTCACCTTACCCTGGTTCCCACTGATTTTATTATCCTCAAATCCGAAAATAGCGTTGTCTTCATCGTCATCATCGTCGTGGTTCTGACCATTGTAGCCCCCGTTATTCCGGTTGCCGGAGTTGTTAAATCCCTGCCCGTTGTCGTGGTAGTTATGACCGTTGTGGCCCCTGTTATACTGGTTGGCGAAGTTGTTAAATGCCTGAGCGTCGGCTTTGTTGTCGCTAATTTGATTCCCTTTGACAGTGACAAGTTTGCGGTTGGGATTAATACCCAGAGGATATCCGCCCCCATTTCTGCCGTTTCCGCCTCCGTAACCGCCGCCATGTCCACTGCCATAGCCACCGCCATAGCCGCCACCGTTGGGAAGACACTTTTGCTTGGAGTTGGATCTATCTTCAGGATGGGTATCTGTGAGCCAGTTGAGGACCCCTCGGGCTGTGCCATGGATGGCACCGTCCAGAGGGGCCAGAGGGAAAGTCACGACATCAGCAACCCTGTGCAGGCTGTCGAAGCCTTGCTCAAAACTGTCTCTCACCTGATTTTTCACTTGATGACTCGTCATTGTCTGGCTGATTAGTATTTAGTTGGGATCTCTGTCTTGTTTGCTTTGATGATCAACTTATTGCCTCATGGTCTCCTTTTATAGTAGTTGGCATGTGCATGCAGAGAATATTTTATGAAGGCCGATATCCTTATCATATTACCATATTGATCATAAGATTCCACACACATAAATAAATTACATTTATCTTCTTGCTACTACAGGGCATGCCCTTTCTTGTTGCGGGAAATTTTGAATAATTCAGATTTACAATTGCATGCATACGTAAGCTGTGATACGTAAGTTGGAATAATTCTAAGATGATGAATTCAACAAAACTAAGCAAGAAAAAATTCAGTAAGGATAATCAAGTTGATTTTTGCTTTTTCAAAAGTGAGAGATCCCTCATCCATGGGCAACTTGATTGAATTTTTTTTCCGTAGAGATGAGCTTTTTTATTTATTTAGTACAAGCAATTAGGGAAGGGGAATATTCATTGGGTGCCTGGGGTTTCAAACCTCTACTCACATGGGTGAAGGTGGAAGAGCTCAACCAACTGAACTATACCCCAATGACCGCAGAGATATGTTTAAATTGTGATATAAAGATGAATGATTCGTTAATCACATAGAGGTTAACATGGAGGTACACCCAAGTGTTGTCCATATAGTTTTCCTCATAAAAAATAGTAAATATAATTGTAAAAGAATAAAGAAAAAGTTGCTATATGTAGGTCATCATCATGAAATAAGATGATGATCAGTTAATGTTTCACTACCAACAATATTTAGTGCTGTAAGGAATTTTCCTAAAGATAAGAACCTTGTTCTTTCCAAATGTTGACAAATTCACAGCCAACGAAATTCACAGCTTGTTGCATATTGATTCTAATTTGCGAGAGGATAGAGCATTTCAGCTTTTGGGTGTGTTTGACCATATTCCTAATTATCCTTTTCAAATGTTACTTAGAAATGGATCTGGATCCTTTGATTGGTTTTTTTTTTTTTGCCATTATTTGCTTGTCTTATCTTCTCCACACGCCACTTCATTTGAATTTGATCTAAAGGCTAAAAATTTAACACTCTGAAAAAGAATTAACCTAACTTGTATTGTTGCAGCCGTTCTGTCTCTTCCCAATCAACAATCTCTCCTCTTCTCCTGTGAAAATTAGTTCTTTCCAATCTCCCGTATATCCAATCTTCATCTTGCAACTATAGTATCAATTGCAAAGCCTAAAACCTAAAATCAATGCAAAGAAGACAAATGCTTGACTGTAGGTGTGTTTTTTCTTCTGGAAATAACAGATTGTTTTGCTCTCTATTTAACCTATTATATGATATTCCAATTTTTTTTATTCTTTGAAAATTTATTGAATTCAGTGCAAGGCCATAAATACACAGATTTTTTTTTTTTTTTTAAGAATAAAAGATTAATTTCACGTTAGGTCAATTATTTTTTTTGTTTTTTCTATTTTAATTATGAAGAAATTTGGTTTTTGTTTTAAGGATGATGTGTAAGTTTAAATTCTTTTGATTAAATTTTAATAAGGTGTCGTGTGGAGGAAAGAAGTCAAGCAGATCATAGTAGAGAAAATCCAAGCAGAAGATCCGAATCCCTAGGAATACCACATGTTGTACTATACCTATGTGATGTAACCATCTCAGGGTGATTTCAGTTTAGGATCTGGTAGTTTCGGCTTTTGAGTTAGAGGAGATGACGAGAGAGTAGAGTGAGAAAGTATGATTTTAGGGGAGTGCAATTTATTTTCAAGAAAAGAGTCGAACAATTTATTTTCCAGAAAAAAGTTGAACAATTTTCAAACAAAAAAGTATTAATTATTATTTTTAAGTCGATAATCTGAACTGTTGATAGTAGATGGATTTAATGGTGTTAAAAGTGTGTTTTATTGTTCGTGAAAATGTGTCCTCCTAAGTCCTTAGAGGTAATTTTATAAAGAGATAAATTTGTCTTAAAATTTTTAAAGATAAGGTGGATGAGGAAATAAGATAAGGAGGTGAAAATAGCAGCTCTCTTTATTTATTATGTAAGTTAACATTTTACACATAAAAAAGAGGCATAGTTTCAAGCCTCAGATATTTGATCAGCTCTTATTCCATTACTTGCATTCTTAGAGCTTGTTCCTATTCAGTACTCGTTGCCAAAGTCGTTAAATGCCTCAGCGTGGCCCTTGTTCCCGTTCAGTTGATTGTTCTCAAAGCCGAATTCAGAATCACCACTGTAGGGGCCGCCGCCACGCCTGTTGCCAAAGTTGTTAAATCCATAAGTTGGGCCCTCGTTGTTGCTAACCTCATTCCCTTTAAAGTTGAAAGTTCTGCGGTTGGGATTTCCACCATATCCACCTCGATTTCCGCCACCATTATGGCAGCCGCCGCCATAGCCTCCCCCGTTTCCGTAGCCACCCCCGTTTCCGTAGCCGCCCCCATGTAACTATAGTATCAATTGCAAAGCCTAAAACCTAAAATCAATGCAAAGAAGACAAATGCTTGACTGTAGGTGTGTTTTTTCTTCTGGAAATAACAGATTGTTTTGCTCTCTATTTTTTTTTTTTGGTATGAACCATGAGGTGATCCTGAATGGGCCCCAACTATGGATGGCACCTTTAAGCCTTAACCACAACCCAGACTAATCCCCACTCACACCGGGTCGGCCCGTAAGGGGTAAAGTGTTGGCCAAAGTGGTGACTCCATACGAGAGCAGGGATCGAACCCCTGATCTCTCTTAAGGAATGAGAGTGCCGAACCACTCACACCAACCACCTTGGTTTGTTTTGCTCTCTATTTAACCTATTATGATATTCCAATTTTTTTTATTCTCTGAAATTTTTTTGAATTCAGTGCAAATTCATAAATACACAGATTTTTTTTTTCTTCAAGTTACTCTAGATCAAAAGAATAAAAGATAAAAGGAGGTACTACTCATCAATATTACTCAAAACAACATTATAGTCACCAACTAATTAGTTTTCGACAAGAAAGATTGAATTTTGGATTGAGGGGGCGAGGGTGAGAATTTTGGGGCAGACGTTGCATAGAAAGGAAAAAGGAGAAAGACCAAGCAGTTGCAGAAGGTTAATTTCACGTTAGGCCAATTATGGTTTTGTTTTTTGTTTTTTAATTATTAAGAAATTAATTAGGTTTTTGTTTTAAGGATGATGAGTCAACTTTGAATTCTTTGGATTAAATTTTAATAAGGTGGCTATATGATGTAACCATCTCAGGGTGATTTTAGCTTAGGCATGATATGGTGGTTTCGGCTTTTGTGTTAGAGGAGATGAAGAGAGTGGAGAGAGAAAGTATGATTTCGGGGGAGAGCAATTTATTTTCCAGAAAAAAGTCGAACAATTTTCAGACAAAAAAAAATTAATTATTATTTTTAAGTCGATAATCTAAATCGTTGATAGTAGATGAATTTAATGGTGTTAAAAGTGTGTTTTATTGTGCTTGAAAATGTGTGTCCTCCTAAGTCTTTAGAAGTAATTTTAATTTATCTTTAAAATTTTAAAGATAAAATGGGTGAAAAAATAAGACAAAGATGTGGAAATAGCAGCACTCTTAATTTATTATATAAGTTAACATTTTACACATAAAAAAGAGGCATAGTTACAAGCCTCAGATATTTGATCAGCTCTTATTCCATTACATGCATGCTTAGAGCCTGTTCCTATTCAGTACTCGTTGCCAAAGTCGTTAAATCCCCTAGTGGGGCCCTTGTTCCCGTTCATTTTATTGTTTTCAAAGCCGAATTCAGAATCGCCACTGTAGGGGCCGCCGCCACGCCTGTTGCCAAAGTTGTTAAATCCATTAACTGGGCCCTCGTTGTTGCTAATCTCATTCCCTTTAAAGTTGAAAGCTCTGCGGTTGGGATTTCCACCATATCCACCTCCATAGCCGCCACCATAGCCTCCCCCGTTTCCGCCGTCATAGCCTCCCCCGTTTCCGCAGCCATAGCCTCCCCCGTTTCCGTAGCCACCCCCATTTCCGTAGCCGCCCCCATGTCCGCCACCATAGCCACCGCCATTAGGAAGACATTTTTCCTTGGACTTGGATCTATCAGGATGGGTATCTGTGAGCCAGTTGAGGACCCCTCGGGCCGTGCCATGAATGGCACCGTCCAGAGGGGCCAAAGGAAAAGTCACGACATCTGCAACCCTGTGAAGGGTGTCGAAGCCTCCCTCAACTGTGTCTCTCACCTGATTTTTCACTTGTTTACTCGTCATTGTCTTGCTGATTAGTTTTAAGTTGGAATCTGTGTGTTTGCTTGGATGATCGACTTATTGCCTCATAGTCTCCTTTTATAGATGTTGGCATGGGCGCAGAGGATATTTTATGGCGGCCGATACCCTGATCATAATACAAAATCTATATTATTGATCATAAGATTCTTCACATATATATAATTTACATTTATCTTCTTGGAATAATATACTACAGTACGGGCCTAATGGCTTTTTTTTTTTGGGTAAATATCTTTCTAACTTCTCTGCTACATACGACCAATTAATTGCTCAGCTATGTGTGATGCTCCGTTGCATACGTAAGCTGTGTTACGTAATTGAGTTGGAATAATTCTAAGATGATGAATTCAACAAAACTAATCAAGAATAAATTCACTAAGGATAATGGAGTTGCTTTTAGCTGTTTTCAAAAGAGAGAGGTGCGCAGATTCTCAATCCTCAATAATGCGTCCGTTGATGTTATATATATATATATATATATATATTTGAGAAATTCTAGAATTACAATCATAATTTAGCGAAAAAAGTCACTAGTCACAAAGGGTCCATACCACAAATGGCCATTATAATAACAGAGCAACCAACAAATATAAATAAGACATTACCATAAGAATATTGTTCTTATAAGTATTCATGGCTTGTTTCGTAAGTCTTTTTTTTCTTTTTTCTTTTTCCAGTCAATGGAGGAGGGATGGGAGCGCTTTCTAACAGGCTTGGTTGAGAGCTAGTTTGTGACTTGTTGTGTAAGTTGGGTCCTTTAAAGATGGAAGGTGGGAAGTTTAGTTAGTATTTCGAGAAATTCCTATAACTTTTGAGTTGTATTCTTATGATATTGTATGTTTAATTTCAAACAAGTTGAGTTCAAGCAGATTCATGCAGTGATGATTTTTAAATTGCGAAAATTTGTCAATAACGAGTGAACAAGCATATTTTCCGTATAGTATCTCTCAATATTAAACTTACCATAAAATATTATAAACGGAAAAAAAAAAGTCTCTATATATCACATTCAAATGGGATAAGAACCTTGTTTCACTACCAACAAATAAGTAGTGCTTTACGGAATTTTCCTTGAGATAAGAACCTTTCTTTCCAAAGCCTTTGGACCAAAGGTTGATAAATTCACAGCGAATGGAATTCACAGGTTCCCATTTGAGAGGATAGAGCATTTCAGCTTTTGCATGTGTTTGACCAGATTCCTATTAATTATATTGGATGTTGATTGTATACAACTCCTATCATATCATGTGGGATTAAATTGTAGTAAAAACGCAAAGGGGACCTAACAACCACTTCATCTATTTACTGTATATCATGAAGCTTTGCTCGATCACTTTGTTAACAACTCATAAGTTTGATAAACTAGTTCTGATTGTTCATGGAAAGGAGAATGTTAGGGAAACCAACTTATGTACTATCGATCTCTCTAATAGAGGGTGGGACCCTCTAGCAGACCTAAGAATTTTTTAGCGGATATGCAATTTTGAAAGGCTAAAAACTCTTTGTGGATTGAACATGTAAGACTTTTTACCTAGATTGACCTTAGGTCCCTTCATGCATTCATATCATACATGAAAAATTGTTTAGTAAATCTGGGTTTTCCCCTTTAAATTCATTTTTCCTTACCTACAACCCATCTTTTTATTTTTCTATAAATTAAACCCAATTTTTATAAGTAAAACCCAATGTGTAGGATTCACCTAAGCAAATTACCTAATTAAGCTTAACATATTAAATATTATATTTTTTCAATTCCTAAATTACCCTAATTTAGGAATTGAAAAAATAATTAAAACTTGGTGTGTAGTTAGTGTCGTATGTTTTTGAAATTGATTGGTTCTTTATGTGTTTTTTTTTACTATGATTGGTTATATTTTGTAAACAAAATATATAATTAAAACTTGGTCTGTTTTTCCAAATCCGACAACCAGATCATATTTTGTTTCAATTTCATATTAATTGGTTAGTTATTTCCTTTTATTTATATCAAAATTTCAAATTTAATAATTGTTATGGATTTGAAATTAATTTGTTTTAGGAACATTAATTTACCTACAAATATTTTGTATACCTATTTTTTCAAATTTAATAATTGCTTGTCTTATCTTCTCCACACGCCACTTCATTTGAATTTGATCTAAAGGCTAAAAATTTAACACTCTGAAAAAGAATTAACCTAACTTGTATTGTTGCAGCCGTTCTGTCTCTTCCCAATCAACAATCTCTCCTCTTCTCCTGTGAAAATTAGTTCTTTCCAATCTCCCGTATATCCAATCTTCATCTTGCTACTATAGTATCAATTGCAAAGCCTAAAACCTAAAATCAATGCAAAGAAGACAACTGCTTGACTGTAGTTGAGTTTTTTCTTCTGGAAATAACAGATTGTTTTGCTCTCTATTTAACCTATTATATGATATTCCAATTTTTTTTATTCTCTGAAAATTTATTGAATTCAGTGCAAGGCCATAAATACACAGATTTTTTTTTTTTTTTCAAGTTACACTAGATCAAAAGAATAAAAGATAAAAGGAGGTACTACTCATCAATATTACTCAAAACAACACTATAGTCACCAACTAATTTGTTTTCGACAAGAAATATTGAATTTTGGATTGAGGGGGCAAGGATGAGAATTTTGGGTCAGACGTTGCATAGAAAGGAAAAAGGAAAAAGACCAAGCAGTTGCAGAAGGTTAACTTCACGTTAGGTCAATTATTTTTTTTGTTTTTTCTTTTTTAATTATGAAGAAATTAGGTTTTTGTTTTAATGATGATGTGCAAGTTTAAATTCTTTTGATTAAATTTTAATAAGGTTTCGTGTGGAGGAAAGAAGTCAAACAGATTGTTTACACCATAATCAACCGAGCATATCTAGCACCAAAGCAACTAGCACCAAGGCAGACACGCCTTCTTCCCTGCCGAAGGAAGACGCTCTTCCAAGGCGACCAACACCTACCGAAGCTCCCGACTGTCGAACCTAGTCTCCAAGGACATGTGTCACCACCACAACGACTGGCACAAAGTCCCACATCGGAACTTTGTACAAGCCTCCCATTTTCACCTCCCTATAAATAGGGAACAGTATCCAAGACGAAAGGGGTAACTATTTTCTCACATTTACTGTTACTCTGCCAAATTTATCACTCTTATCTGACTTAAGCATCGAAGAGCTTTCGGCCGGCACCACACCGGTGTCCCAAGCTTAACGACTGCTTCTCCCACTTTGTCGTCTGCAGGCTCTTTCCTTGACGAAGGTTCTCACCTTCTCCCCTACTGAAGACGATCCACTTCTCTCTAAGTTGACCTCCCAAAAGGAGCTTCAACAGTTTTGCGCCGTCTGTGGGAAGCGACTTTTGAATCCCAACTCCCTCTACCAACTCCGATAGCTCCTTCTTTTATCAAGCCTCGTCGCCTCTTCTTCACCCCACATTCTGGTATGCCGAGCGAGGCAAGTATCGATACCCAACGCCACACCCCCCGCGGGGAATCCTCCGAAGGAAACCTTCGGCAGAGGGGGATCTCCAGGCGGAGGTTGAGCGCCTCTGTGCCAGTGTCGCGAAGATGTCCGAGAACTACGAACAAATTCGCACAAAAAATGTGGAACTGGAGAACTACTGTCGAGCCCTGAAACGCAATTTGGAAGGCAAAGGCCACCAATTCACCCAGCAAGACCACACTCAGGACATTGGGCACACCCAACTGAACCAACCACTTACCTCTCGTCATAGCGCTCCGATACAAATTAGGCCTGACAAAGGCAAAGGCCACAGCACCACCACGAGATCCACGCCCCAAGACCAGCTCCAGGCCCATGCACTGAAGGTCAAGACCCAGACTACCCCGACCCAAACCCAGCTCCGGGTTGTACCACGGGGAATCTTGTTTAAACCTTGCTGAAGCCTTGGCGAACGGGAAGAATCCTTTAGATGGGATTCGAGTCACCCTTGCCGAACGGCAAGGGCCATGCTTAAGGAAAGGAGGGCTTCAAAAATAGCTTACCACGCGACCTTGTCGACGACGCCACAACACTCAAAAGCCTAAATCCCTTTGACGTCAGCCCCTTGCCGACATTTTATGACGTGACCTAGGCACCTTCCGTGCGCTTCTTGGAGAATCACGCCAGCCCCAAGCCGTCGCAAGCACCCTGACCAAACGACAAGCAGCGTGGTGACGCTCCAGGCCGCCGCCTAAATCGCACCTCAATAAAATACTTCTCTAATCCTCCTTGCCGATCGGCAG